GCCGATGCCTAGCGCCGCTCCCCGGGCGTTTCAGCTTTACTGGTGCACTTACGGGGGGAAGCGCTTTGGGGGCCAGCCCCTCCCCAACAACCCCTCCGCAGGGCCAACCCGGGCGATGCAGCACCCAGCCCGTCCCCAGCACCACGGCAGTGGTGGGAGAGCCAGGCATGGTGGCTCCTGGCTCTCCTGGCACCCTGCAGAGCCAGGTGGGTGGGTGCCAGCTTCTGCCACCTCCCAGGTTGTCACACGTGTCCCCCCCGTCCCGAGCGGCATCATTTGGGGACAACCAATGCCCCATGCCAGGCGCACAGCCGCACAGCCGCGGCCTGCCCCGCTGCCTGGTCATTTATTTAATCCTCCACCCCGCTGCCCCCAATGCGCCATGGCCGGTTGCACCCCCGTGGCTGCTCCGTGCCCCCTGGGGTCCCTCCTGTCCCAGAGTGATGGACCCCATCGCCAGCCGTCCTGTCCCACGGCTGCTTCTCCCCCGCTGGGGACCCTCCTCCTGCTCCAAAGCACCTGGCTGGGGAAACCCCAACCCGGGGTCCCTCACGCAGAAGGGATGGAGGCACCCGGAGCCCATCCATCCTCCAGGCTGATGGGCGAAATGTTTGCAGAAACACCCACAGGAGAAGCACCTCTTTTTTAACATCCATTTACAGCCCTGCAGAACCATCGCCCGCTCTCCTGTGCGCACAAAGCGGTGCAGGAACGCGGTGCCGTCCCACCTCCGTGTGGATTTTTATCGGGACAGCTATTAGCGCTCCCCAGCCCTCCCGTGATGGCATCCTGGGGGATAAACGGATTAAAAACCTGCTCTTTGCTGACTCGTTGCTCTTTATTCCTGAGCTGATTTTCCTGTCCATCCTGCTGGGGCTTGGTGACCGTCTCGGATCCCTCCCTTCTCTCTCCCCCTTGAAATATCAGGGGGTGCCAGGCAGGGATGCCGGCTGTAGCTCAGCGGGATGCTTTGATGCCCATCTCCCGGTCCACGGCCTGGAGGAAACGTTCGTTGAGGAAAAGCATCTGGCCGTGGGGCAGGAGACGATCAAGGAGGATGTCGGCGGTCTCGGGTCGGAGCAGGACGTCGGCACCGGGGCCGAGGAGGCGCAGGGAGGCGAGCAGGCGAGGGGCCAAGCGGCGCAGGGTGATTTCGGCTAAGGATAGATTCTCTTGAGGGTCGCAAACCAAGGCGAAAGCGAGGGCCAACACCGATAACCAGGCTACCGTCACCCGTTCGGGGAAAGGGTCTCCGGGGGGCAGCTGGAAAAGTCCTGCCGGGGCATCTTGCAGCGATATCGGTTCGTCGGGGAGCTGGGGGAGTTGGGGGGCCGACGGGCGCCCCGAGGATGACTGAAGCAGACGGCACTGGGAGGCCAC